AAATAACACAAATAGTTTTTGAAAATCAACTATTTTTACATCGAACTTGGCTATCACCATTTCAATTATAATTTTGGTACGCCGAAATACATCAGCTGAGATTCTAATTAACCTTCCTCGTCTGTAACTGATTAAAACACCCAAGGTGGCCGTCAAACGCAATGCGTCGGTTGAGAACACCTGCTGAGATACTGATTTCCGTATTGACTGTGTAAATGATCGTAGGTGAATGATTGTGTTGCGAATCTTGGCGAACGCTGGCCTCGAATGAATTCTTTTGCATCTGGTGAAACCTCGCTCAACGACTAACAGCCCCAGTCTCATCAACATACGTACGTACCCGGTGTGTATTATCATCGACGAAGGTTGCTTTACAGAACACTGTACACGGGAGGAATGTGTAACTTTTCGAAATGCAGTGTTTAAACGCATTTTTAAAGAATAAAGTAGATGAACTTTGCAGCCATACTCATTTTTGTTTCATAAACCCATGATAAGGTAAGAACTTCTATTTCCATCTGAAAGCGCATGCTCCCATGCGCACTTATGTATGCGCGATGTTTGCGGAATTTTTAGGTTCCTGGGTAGCGTATTTCATAGTGCAAATGCGCTCACAGAAAAGAACTGACGAAACTCCTACTGCGGTTTCCAGAAGAAAAAGAACAAAGGATTTGCGATGATTATTGAGTCTAGAGGGTTCCGGATGTTTTACTGTATAAAGCAAATTCAAGTACAAGTTCTTAAAAGTCTACGCTACCAAAAGTCTCTATTGTAATCAGTACAACCCTAAAAACGAAGGCTTGTAAGCCGACAATGTTGTGGGCACATCAAACTAGCGTGCTCCGAAGACAACACTCGTGCTGCATGGAATCTATTGCCTTCCGCTCACTAGTACTATTGTGACTGCGTTCTGGTATATTAGCAGATGCATCCTATCGGTTGCCAGATATGCGTGTAATGCGAAATTGGTTTCCTGTCCGTGGGCGCCGTGTAATTTTCTTAAGCAATATTTGAGGTAGTTTGTATTGTTGTCAATCTTTTTCCTGTACTCTTTTCCGTGCATTGTCATATTTAATAACCGAAGTATTTGTTATCAAACTAGGAAGCCTTTGTAAACTCCAGCCCTACAAGGACGGAAGCCCAAACCTCTTCTAAGTTAGAACAGGACGATGTAGAAAAAGACAGCGTTCCAGCCTCCGAGGACGAAGAGGAGGATAATGCCGCCGAGGTTGAAAACAACGGAGTAGAGTCCAGCATTCTCCAAATGCAGAAAATCCTCCACGCAGCGGCGACTGTCGGCTCAACGGATATGGATGACAATTTCGCTCCCTACCTTAAGAGAGCCTATATGAATTAGTGATGAGAGCAGTAAAAATTTTTCTTTAGGACGGAAACCCCAAAACCCGGCTGTTTGTTTCTTTAGCTTTTATTCCTCTGCATTATTGTTAATCTGATTTGAATACCCAGATCGTCTTACACTGCAATTTGGACTTCTTTTTACATGTCGGTTGGAAATTCAGGCATAAGAAAAGCTTTAACTGATTATAGGGAAGTGTAACAGTATCAGATAACGCGGCTGAATAAAGGAAGCGTGGATACGGGTATCAGCATACAGACACTAAGCAAATTATCGGTTTTACTTCACGCACCTTGGCCATGTAAAAGATTCTTAAACACACACTCAATCGAAACGGAAACTCATAGTAAAATCTAGTAAAATTGACTTAGTATGGATGAAATGATGCTACCAGCTCAGATTCCTTAGTTAGATGTATTGCATAGAATGGACCAAACAATTCCGCCTTGTTAGTGTCTTCGAGAACGAAAATTTTATCCACGTTTATTAATGGAGGAATTCGGCAACCTGGTGTAGAGGAGGACCAATGACGGTACATATGTTGCTAGGTTTAGTTTACTAAGTGCACATGACTCGATCAGGTACAAAATGATCCATAGAGGCTAATTCGAAAATCTCTGCGATTCGGAGATTCACAGCTGACGAAGTTGTAGCTTGGCTTTTCAACTACCGCCGCAATTTCTTTGGTTTATGCAAAGAAAGTGAGGAACGGTGGATGCAGAAGTACAGGGTTCGAAAATATAGCTTGGCACATATTCTAGGATGCCATCGAAAACGGTCGACAAGAAGTCATAAAAAGTGCCGCGTCGTTCATCGAGGCAGGTTTGTGGCAGTTCAATGCGTCAGCGAAGTTTTTCATTAAGTTAACACCTGCGAAATTGAACTCTTTTGCGAATTTGGATATTAATAGGGAGCTCAAGGGCGAAAGCCTTCTTCAGTTAATAGAGTGACTTAAACACCAATTTTCAAAAAAACACTAGGAGAAAAAACTGCTTAGATAGGAAGTTAGATTGATGTGATAAGATATGATGCAAGTTCACAGACAAGTTGGCGACAACATGAGAACCCTCGAAGGTTCATCAACAGCGACCTCAAAGATAACCGTCAGGGTTGCAAAACGGAGAAAAGTTGACATCATTTTTAAATGATGCTTGACTCAAGGAAAAAGGAGCACTGTCTTTTGCAAAAATAAGAACTAGAGTATGTTTTTCTCTTGGTGGAGAGCGGACAAGTTGAGGCCAGTTTGAAAAATTAATGATATCTAGGAAAGGCTGAAAGCGGCGTGGACAGAAGTGTGAAAGCCACTTAGTTTCATTAAAATTGAAATCTCCAGCGATCATTTGGACGCCAAATGCAGACTTTGAAAAGGATTTAAAGATTTTATAGGGTTTCGAATTATCTTCGGATAATGAGTTAGGAGGATTGTACATGCACCCAAGAATTGCGTTCTTTCAGGGCGAGAAGATAATTTATACGAAGCAGTATTTCCTGCCAGCCAAATCCCCGGATCCCTCCGTGGAAATTCCGGGGAGATAGGATTGATCCGGGGCGACGACAGGAATTTGACGGGGGGAGGCCGGGGTTTTCAATCCACATATCCCGT